ACACAAGCCGTTTCGGATATTCGAAATACTCTGTGCACGTCATGAACAATCAGTGACGTCACTAAAAATGTCATCTATAACAGCACATTATACGTACATGTCAAGTTATAACCAAATCGAAAATGTAAGTCTGTAAATATAGGCCTATAAAGAACAAAATGCCCCTTTAAGGGATGTCACATGAATTTGTCTATAACCCATCTCGGCATTGGTACGATCGCGAATTTCTTCTAGGACCATCTGTGGGTGATAGTCTAAGTGTGTACCAGGTCTAACGTCGATCGCATAATTTACAAAAGTGTCAAAGTAGAGTGTTTTAAAACGTGTACAAACCCTATGGGGAAAAATGCATCTTTAATGTGATGTAACCCAACACCTGATGACGTCACGATCACGAATTTCTTCTAGGACCATCTGTGGGTGGTGGTCTAAGTATGTATCAAGACTGAGGTCGATCGGATTTACGAAGGTGCCAAAGTGGATTGTTTTAAAACGTGTACAAAACATATGGGGAAAAACGCATCTTTAATGTGACGTAACCCAACACCTGATGACGCCACGATCACAAATTTCTTCTTGGACCATCTGTGGGTGGTGGTCTAAGTATGTATTAAGTCTGAGGTCGATCGCATTTATGAAGGTGCCAAGGTGGAGCGTTTTAAAACGTGTACAAAACATATAGGGAAAATGTGCATCTTTAATGTGAAGTAACGTGACACCTGATGACGTCACGATCTCGAATTTCTTCAAGAACCATCTGTGGGTGATGGTCTAAGTGTGTACCAAGTGTAACGTCCATCGGATTTACAAAAGTGCCGAAATGGAGCGTTTTAATACATGTACAAACCCTATGGGGAAAAATGCATCTTTAATGTGACGTAACCTGACACTTGATGACGTCACGATCACAAATTTCGTCTAGAACCATCTGTGGGTGGTGGTCTAAGTATGAATTAAGTTTAAAGTCGATCGGATTTACGAAAATGCCAAACTGGAGTGTTTTAAAACGTGTACAAAACATATGGGGAAAAATGCATCTTTAATGTGACGTAACCTGACACCTGATGACGTCACGATCACAAATTTCTTCTAGGACCATCTGTGGGTGGTGGTCTAAGTATGTACCAAGTCTGAAATCAATCGGATTTAAAAAAAAGTGGCAAAGTGGACTGCCAGAAGAAACGTGTGTTAAACCTATGGAGAAAAAGTCTGAAAAAGGAGAAGAAAAAAAAAAAAAAAAAAAAAAATCTTAACGAAAACAAAAGCTGTTTCGGTGTGTAACCGAAACAGCTAAAAAAAAAAAAAAAAAAAAAAACTTAACGAAAACAAGAGCTGTTTCGGTGTGTAACCGAAACAGCTAATAATAAGGTATCCAAAATACAAATGTTTAGAACAATAGGAGCGGAAAAGCCCTATGAACCGTTCTGCCTACAGACATAGACCTCTAGTTGCAAATTGTTACTGTGGAGTATTGAAGTTTAAAAAATTCATTTCTTTTCTATTCTTTCACCATTTGACAATTTAGACCAAGTTTCTCCATCCATCGTTTGTCCATCTTACACGAATGTCCACATACACGTTGATGAATCGTTTGCTTACCAGCCATTTCCTACCAACTACAATGCTTCTGACAACTCTGGAAGTTACGATGTTATGATCTACGATACATACCCACTAGGGAGTGTCTTTCAGGGTCCCTTCACCCCTGGATCTCTGTACAACTTTTCTGTTAGTGCAAGCCCTTACACGTGGTACTATGTGGTTTCGGATGCGGCTGGGAACGAGGATAACTGCACCATGCAGATCAATGTTGTGCCATCAGGTAAGAATGCTGAGCGTATAGCGGCGATCCATAGTAACGAATGACATCGCATGCATAGCGTCCATCCAACGAATGCTTAACGTACGCCACGAATGGCCAACGTATGCCTAGCGTGCTGCGGCCGGTCATGTGACGTGTCTCCGCTGACCCATAAATACGCTCGCCAAGTTCCCGTCGCTATGACAAAGTTCCTTGAGTAGGACGTATATGTCCGAACAGCTGACGAAGAAGCAACCTACACCCAACGTGCGAAACGTTCACACAGCGAATGCTCAACATATACATAGCGTATTGATCACTACATTGTCGCCCGCTCAAAATTTTGAACATGTTCATTTCAAATTTCCTAGACCCCAGCGCGCCTCTGCCAACCCTTACGAACCGCTACGAATTCAACTTATGCCAAACGTGTCACGAACGAATGACAACGTACACGAACTGACAACCAAATTTCCAAAAAACTTGGGCACACGTCAGTTCTATTTGCAACATTGTGACGCGGAGAAACAAGGTAACGCGGGGGACCGGGTACTCTTGCTGAAGAATGGCTTCTCGTTTTGTTTGTCGAATTAGTCGATGACGGGGTGTTTTTTCTTCTTTTCATCTTTTGTCCATAGCTACAATAAAGGTGGAAATCGTTTGTGTTGGCCAGCAGATCACCCTGAGTTGTTCCTCTTTAAAGTTCATCAACGTGACTTACGCTTTGTATGGACGTGTTGGGACGTCCGATATGAACACCTGCACGGCTAATGGTGCTGTTCAACCCTGCGGTGATATAGCTTCCTCGCTGGAGTTAGTACAGAAGGAATGTCAGGGAAAGGCAGATTGTACCTTCAGTGCCGACAATACCTTCTTTGGTACTGACCCGTGTCAATCAGTTTCGAAGTACCTCCGAGTTGAATATTTCTGCTCAAACCAAGGTAATCACGCCTGTATCCCTGCAATTTCTGGTGTTCTTAACCAAAACACTTTACTGCTGTTGCTACTCTCTAAAAAATACATGAAGTATCGATGGGTACCAGTTTGCGTTGATCTCGAGCTGCTGCAGAAAACTGGTCTCGTAGCCTGATGAAAAGGAGTAATAATAGTGGGGCTGTTGAGGTCTTATATATGATACAATTGTGCACTTTGTGACTAAAGCATGAAACTTCGCATATTGGTTCTTCATGCCATGAAGACAATTTTCAGATGTAGAGACATTTCATATTTGACCTCTGGTGACCTTTAAGAGGTCAATGAACTTTACATACACTATTTATAATAATTGTTCCTGAAAATACCACTTTCCTATGACCCCAGTCTATGTCATAGGTCTTGAGGCAATGGAAAAAATGATCAGATGTGAAAAAAAAATCATACTTGACCTCCGGTGACCTTTCAAAGGTCAATGACCTATTTATACAGTATTTATAGTTTTTTATGAGATTAACATTTTAAACCCAACTTTTTCAAGACCCAACTCTAAAAGTTAGGTTTTTATACTATGAAAAGCATTTTCATATGAAGGGCATTTCATATCTAACCTTTGGTGACCTTCAAGAGGTCAATGAACTTTGTATGCCCTATTTTCAAATATTTATAAGATTTAATATTCAAAACTCCACATTTTTTATAACCCAAGTCTAAAAGTTGGCTCTTCGTGATATGAACAGAATTTTCTGATGTGTGAACATTCATATTTTACCCCTGGTGACCTTAATGAGGTCGATACACTTTGCATACCCTATTTGCCGCTATTTATCATATTTAATATTCCAAATGCCACTTTTTCATGACCCAAGTCTAAATAAATAAAAGGAAAGTGTATTTTAAGTATTATTCTACAGCATGTCATGTATTCAGACCACAAGGACAACTTTGTAAGGACCTCTGATCTCCATTTCCCTTTTTGAAGGGTAGACAGGGGCGCGACAGAATACAAGGGTTACATTGAGCAATAATCACAATCTAACAGTGACCAGTGGGCTTGGTAAAAAGGTTAAAAATATGGTGACCAAAGTCCATCTAGATACCACAGAGTGCAATAAGTACACAAGAGCGATTATTGTTAGACATTTGTACATATTACGTTTTAAAGAAAGTCCAACAGTCTTCTGTCCCAGTCGCAACATGTTGCGTCTTCCAATTGAAAAAGGAAAATGGAGGTCAGATGTCACACCAATTTTTTTTGTGGGCTTTGAATTCATAACATGACTGTATAATAATAGGGGCAATACCCTTCTTTTGCAAAATTGAGGCTTGGGTCACGAAAACAAGGTGATTGACGAATGAATATAAAAAATAGCAAAAAATAAGGTATATAAAGTTCATTGACCTATTAAAGGGTACTAAAGGTCAGATTATGATGTCCCCATATCTGGACATTCTTTTCATGTCACAAAGAGCCAACTTTTAAACTTCGGTCCTGAAATAGTTGGGTTTTGAATAATAAATGTTATAAATATCTGTAAATAGGGAATACACAGTTTATTGACCTTCTGAAGGTCACCAGAGGTCAGATATGAATCGCCCTACATATGAAACAAGAACTCATAGCATGAACACCTAAACTTTAGACTTGATCTTTAAAAAAATTGAGGTTTAAAGAGTTAATCATAATAACGACAACATATGTATACAAAGGTCATTGACCTCTGGAAGGTCACTTAAGGTCAATTTTTTTTTTTGCTTTCACATCTGATCTTTATTTTTATGGCCTGAAGACCTATGACAATGACTTGGGTCATAGGAAAATGGTGTTTCAAGAACAATTGTTATAAATAGTGTATGTAAGGTCATTGACCTCTCCAGGGTCACCAGAGGTCAAATATATGTCTCCACATCTGAAAATTTTCTTCACGGCATGAAGAACCAACATGCGAAGTTTCATGCTTTAGTCACAAAGTGCACAATCGTATCACTCAACAGCCCCACTATAATTGCGAAGCGATTTGAGACCGTTATGCACCGCTTTAGTAGCTGCGATAAACAAACTTTTCTAGCTAGACGATTACAGTTCTGACTTCTGTGAAATCTGGTTTCCATTACCTTTAATGGACTCTAAACCCTACACGTAACCTGCAACTGTCCAAATTATGCTCAATAATATATGCACAATATAACACATAAGTCCGCATTTCATAGAAACCGTACTTCACACTACATGGTCGTTGCCTGATGTTTGGGGGTATTTCTCTGAGTTAGTGGTTGTTTTTTTTTCCATTTCCCCCTGAGTTATCACCGTTCAAACATTTCTTTGCTCAGCCTAATTTTTTTGTTTTCAGGATCTGTGGAGCAGTGTGAAAATAACGAGGTATCAATCGTTTGTGACGACGTTAATACAATCGATGTGTTATATGCTTTATACGGACGGATTGGCATGGGTGTGGATGACGATATTTGCCCGGATGGGAACCTGAATTCCTGCGGTGATGAAACTACGTCACTTGAAACTGTGAAGAGCCGGTGCCAAGGAATGTCAACGTGCACTTTCACTGCTAGTAACGCTAACTTCGGTGGTGATCCATGCAATGGAATTGGGAAGTATCTTCGTGCTAACTTTCAATGCAAAGGTGCGGTTGTTTCTTACAATTCTCTTTCCATGTTTCCACCATTTGTCGTAAATTGTATTTGTTTAAGGGATTCAACTGACATGTGTTCACTTTGGCACTTGTTTACAACTTCGATGTTGTGGTCACTGGATGCAAACTCAAGGCAAACTGTTCCTTTCCCTACCGTTTGTGTATCTCTTGAATGTGGTTTGTGTAAAACGTGTTGACATAAACTGTTTAAGATTGACAATGTTTAATATATTGAAGTAATGCTCAAACCAAATAAAACCCCGAATTTACTAAAGCCTTCCCAATGGATATTTATGACCCATACCCACTGCTCTAACCCAATGCACATTTCACCACCTTACGTAAAAGCCACATAATAGCTTTTGAATAGTGATTCCTGAAACTCTTATTTTTTTCTAACCATAAATATTATGGATTTGAAAAGCAGGCTGATTATGCAGTTAGATTCACAATCGATTTCTTCCTAATGAGTGTGTTTCGCCGTGGTTAATCACTTATGCCCATTTTTATTTGACACGAATTTTGAAATAATATGTTCCTTTACTTTCACCATTTGACCATAGACCAGGATCCTCCGTCCATCGTGTGTCCATCCAACGTAAATTTCTACATCACCAATGATGAATCGTTTGCTTCCCGGCCATTTCCTACCAACTACAATGCTTCTGACAACTCTGGAAGTTACGATGTTATGATCTACGATACATACCCACTAGGGAGTGTCTTTCAGGGTCCCTTCACCCCTGGATCTCTGTACAACTTTTCTGTGAGTGCAAGCCCTTACACGTGGTACTATGTGGTTTCTGATGCGGCTGGGAACGAGGATAACTGCACTATACAGATCAATGCTGTGTTAGTCGGTAAGAGGCTTTCTTGACTCACTGCCATTACCAAAGACTGCTGCAGGTCATATGTTTGATCTCATTGGATAATTTAAGACCTTCATTGTCGACATGAGTCTACTAGTCATATCAAACGATATAAATACTTTACTTTAGCCCAGAAATCCATCTATGCCATGTATATATGTTTAGATATCTTACACGTGTTGCTTTGTTGGTAGCTGACTTCATTAAGAGAGGTACTAAGTTTTTTGGGAAAAGACCCAGGTAAACTTGGCATTAGTCTGACTATGCATGGGCTTACTATTGTTAAGATCTGAATTCTCCATTTGCACAAAACACATATATTAATGTGCATTAATCATATGAATATAATAGCTGGTATGGGTTATCAAGCTGCATGTTCATTTCGAAGTTTGGTCCATTTTATTTCTCGTATTTATTTTCCGTTTTAAATGCTAGTGCGCATTGCTTAAAAAAACCTTGCATCCAGCTGTTTGAGTGTTATTTTCTTCATCAACAAACAGAACAATGATTATTTTGAACGTCTTATTTCCGTAGCTGTTGCGCTGTCCTTCAATCTAAATTCACGGCATCTTCACGGGACAACACCCAGAAATTTTTTTTCTTCATTGCCCCTCCTCAGGGTATGACATACGCCGTAATCAGATGCAGTTTTGTACTGTTAGATACTGGGGGCCGGGGATGAACGCCCCTCCCCAGCCCTTCATTTACTTATTTTCAACGAAAATAGAACAAATAAATGTGTGTTATTTTGCTCGGGGCCTCTAGTGGCATATCCAGCATTTGAAAACTTCAAGAAGGCGCAAGAATCTCACAATGCTATAAAAAATGGGTACTAAAAGCAGAGCACAATGTAAATAAACTTTAGGGGTTAATTAGGTGTTTCAGAAGTCCGGAACATTACGGGAGTGTAATTTAATTTCATTCTTAACGGTTTTCAGGGGCAATATTATTGTCATGAAAAGTTACTCCGGCGGTCTTAAACAGAGTAATTAAAACCTCCCGAGCACACATTTATTCCCTTAGTAGTGTTGACGTTTATATTCTACTTAAATAAATGCTCTTTATTATTTCGAATAACATGCCTTGAGTAGCCCAATGGGGACGCTTTCCAGAGCTTATGGTGTCCCTTTAATGTGTGCATGGCCCCAATTCACGTTTATGCCCAAACCAAATAAAACCGCAAATTTGCCAACTGTATAATCCTCACGGGAATTTATGCCCCACACCCACTGCATAAACCAAATGAACATTTCCTCACCTTTGTAGAAGCCACATTAGCTACGGAATACTGATCTGTAAAACACTTATATTCACCAACCGTAAATATTATGCAATTTGTAATTCTTATTTATCAACCATAAATGTTATGTAATTTTGAATTCGGGCTTATATATGCCGTAAGACTCACAATCGATTTCTTCCCCTTTTCAAATTAAGTGTGTTGCACCTTGGTGAATATCTAATGGCACTTGTTGCGTGATATTTTTTGTTTGAAATGCGTTTTGAAATATTATTTTCCTTTCTTTCATTTCACCATTTGACCATAGACCAGGATCCTCCGTCCATCGTGTGTCCATCCAACGTAAATTTCTACATCAACAATGATGAATCGTTTGCTTCCCAGCCATTTCCTACCAACTACAATGCTTCTGACAACTCTGGAAGTTACGATGTTGTGATCTACGATACATACCCACTAGGGAGTGTCTTTCAGGGTCCCTTCACCCCTGGATCTCTGTACAACTTTTCTGTTAGTGCCAGCCCTTACACGTGGTACTATGTGGTTTCGGATGCTGCTGGGAACGAGGATAACTGCACTATACAGATCAATGCTGTATTAGTCGGTAAGAGGCTTTCTTGACTCACCGCCATTACCAAAGACTGCTGCAGGTCATATGTTTGATCTCATTGGATAATTTAAGACCTTCATTGTCGACATGAGTCTACTAGTCATATCAAACGATATCAATACTTTACTTTAGCCCAGAGTTCCATCTATGCCATGTATACATGTTTAGATATCTAACACGTGTTGCTTTGTTGGTAGCTGACTTCATTAAGAGAGGTACTAAGTTTTTTGGGAAAAGACCCAGGTAAACTTGGCATTAGTCTGACTATGCATGGGCTTACTATTGTTAGGATCTGAATTCTCCATTGGCACAAAACACATACATTAATGTGCATTAATCATATGAATATAATAGCTGGTATGGGTTATCAAGCTGCATGTTCATTTCGAAGTTTGGTCCATTTTATTTCTCGTATTTATTTTCCGTTTTAAATGCTAGTGCGCATTGCTTAAAAAAACCTTGCATCCAGCTGTTTGAGTGTTATTTTCTTCATCAACAAACAGAACAATGATCATTTTGAACGTCTTATTTCCGTAGCTGTTGCGCTGTCCTTCAATCTAAATTCACGGCATCTTCACGGGACAACACCCAGAATTTTTTTTCTTCATTGCCCCTCCTCAGGGTATGACATACGCCGTAATCAGATGCAGTTTTGTACTGTTAGATACTGGGGGCCGGGGATGAACGCCCCTCCCCAGCCCTTCATTTACTTATTTTCAAAGAAAATAGAACAAATAAATTTGTGTTATTTTGCTCGGGGCCTCTAGTGGCATATCCAGCATTTGAAAATCTTCAAGAAGGCGCAAGAATCTCACAATGCTATACAAAATGGGTACTAAAAGCAGAGCACAATGTAAATAAACTTTAGGGGTTAATTAGGTTATTCAGAAGTCCGGAACATTACGGGAGTGTAATTTAATTTCATTCTTAACGGTTTTTAGGGGCAATATTATTGTCATGAAAAGTTACTTCGGCGGTCTTAAACAGAGTAATTAAAACCTCCCGAGCACACATTTATTCCCTTAGTAGTGTTTGGCGTTTATATTCTACTTAAATAAATGCTCTTTATTATTTCGAATAACATGCCTTGAGTAGCCCAATGGGGACGCTTTCCAGAGCTTATAGTGTCCCTTTAATGTGTGCATGGCCCCAATTCACGTTTATACTAAGACCAAATAAAACCGCAAATTAAATTTGCCAACTGTATAATCCTCACGGGAATTTATACCCCACACCCACTGCATAAACCAAATGAACATTTGACTCACAATCGATTTCTTCCTCTTTTCAAATTAAGTGTGTTGCACCTTGGTGAATATCTAATGGCACTTGTTGCGTGATATTTTTTGTTTGAAATGCGTTTTGAAATATTATTTTCCTTTCTTTCATTTCACCATTTGACCATAGACCAGGATCCTCCGTCCATCGTGTGTCCATCCAACGTAAATTTCTACATCAACAATGATGAGTCGTTTGCTTCCCAGCCATTTCCTACCAACTACAATGCTTCTGACAACTCTGGAAGTTACGATGTTATGATCTACGATACATATCCACTAGGGAGTGTCTTTCAGGGTCCTTTCACCCCTGGATCTCTGTACAACTTTTCTGTTAGTGCCAGCCCTTACACGTGGTACTATGTGGTTTCGGATGCGGCTGGGAACGAGGAAAACTGCACTATACAGATCAATGCTGTATTAGTCGGTAAGAGGCTTTCTTGACTCACTGCCATTACCAAAGACTGCTGCAGGTCATATGTTTGATCTCATTGGATAATTTAAGACCTTCATTGTCGACATGAGTCTACTAGTCATATCAAACGATATAAATACTTTACTTTAGCCCAGAGTTCCATCTATGCCATGTATACATGTTTAGATATCTTACACGTGTTGCTTTGTTGGTAGCTGACTTCATTAAGAGAGGTACTGGGTTTTTAAGGAAAAGACCCAGGTAAACTTGGCATTAGTCTGACTATGCATGGGCTTACTATTGTTAGGATCTGAATTCTCCATTGGCACAAAACACATACATTAATGTGCATTAATCATATGAATATAATAGCTGGTATGGGTTATCAAGCTGCATGTTCATTTCGAAGTTTGGTCCATTTTATTTCTCGTATTTATTTTCCGTTTTTAAATGCTAGTGCGCATTGCTTAAAAAAACCTTGCATCCAGCTGTTTGAGTGTTATTTTCCTCATCAACAAACGGAACAATGATCATTTTGAACGTCTTATTTCCGTAGCTGTTGCGCTGTTCTTCAATCTAAATTCACGGCATCTTCACGGGACAACACCAAGAATTTTTTTTTCTTCATTGCCCCTCCTCAGGGTATGACATACGCCGTAATCAGATGCAGTTTTGTACTGTTAGATACTGGGGGCCGAGGATGAACGCCCCTCCCCAGCCCTCCATTTTCAAAGAAAATAGAACAAATAAATTTGTGTTATTTTGCTCGGGGCCTCTAGTGGCATATCCAGCATTTGAAAATCTTCAAGAAGGCGCAAGAATCTCACAATGTTATACAAAATGGGTACTAAAAGCAGAGCACAATGTAAATAAACTTTAGGGGTTAATTAGGTTATTCAGAAGTCCGGAACATTACGGGAGTGTAATTTAATTTCATTCTTAACGGTTTTCAGGGGCAATATTATTGTCATGAAAAGTTACTCCGGCGGTCTTAAACAGAGTAATTAAAACCTCCCGAGCACACATTTATTCCCTTAGTAGTGTTGACGTTTATATTCTACTTAAATAAATGCTCTTTATTATTTCGAATAACATGCCTTGAGTAGCCCAATGGGGACGCTTTCCAGAGCTTATAGTGTCCCTTTAATGTGTGCATGGCCCCAATTCACATTTATGCTCAAACCAAATAAAACCGCAAATTTGCCAACTGTATAATCCTCACGGGAATTTATACCCCACACCCACTGCATAAACCAAATGAACATTTGACTCACAATCGATTTCTTCCCCTTTTCAAATTAAGTGTGTTGCACGTTGGTGAATATCTAATGGCACTTGTTGCGTGATATTTTTTGTTTGAAATGCGTTTTGAAATATTATTTTCCTTTCTTTCATTTCACCATTTGACCATAGACCAGGATCCTCCGTCCATCGTGTGTCCATCCAACGTAAATTTCTACATCACCAATGATGAATCGTTTGCTTCCCAGCCATTTCCTACCAACTACAATGCTTCTGACAACTCTGGAAGTTACGATGTTATGATCTACGATACATACCCACTAGGGAGTGTCTTTCAGGGCCCCTTCACCCCTGGATCTCTGTACAGCTTTTCTGTAAGTGCCAGCCCTTACACGTGGTACTACGTGGCTTCGGATGCGGCTGGGAACGAGGATAACTGCACTATACAGATCAATGCTGTATTAGTCGGTACGAGGCTGTCTTGACTCGCTGCCATTACCAAAGACTGCTGCAGGTCATATGTTTGATCTCAATAGCCTCCTTCCAACACTCTGGAATCTTTCTTTTGTCCAGTATTTGATTGTAAAGTTTGGTTAGCTCCCTTACAGTTTCGCTGCCACCAATCTTTATGATGTCACTAGTGATGTCATCTGTTCCCGGAGCTTTGTTGTCTTTCATACCTTTAACAGCTGCTTCTACCTCTCTGTCTGTTATTTTTGGTAGGGCTGACTGGTCCGGTGACACTATCTTTGGCTTGGAGCCAGTACTCATCGAACTATACAGTTCCTCTTAGAAATCGGAACAGACATCTAGAATTTCTTGTCTAACATTTGTAATTGTACCATCTTTTTGTTTCAGCTGATGCATCCTGGTTTTCTTGCGATTCAGTTTATTGATGTGTTGTGCTCCTCTTCCACTTCTAAGAATAGATTCTATTTTTTTCCTTCTCCACATACTCCTTTGCCTCCTCTTCTATCTCACTGTTTTCACGAGCTCAGCATATTCAATCTTCTGAATCTTGGTTTTGTCCTGTATTTCCCTCAACTCCTTCCTCCTTCTATCCAGGTCTTCAATCACTTTGTCCTCTTTGGTGTTCTCCTTCTTCTGCTTTTCCTGTGGAGTAATTTCTGCTGCCACTTCCATCACAGTATCAGAGATGATTTTATAGCTTTCATCTATCCCAGCGTTCTCTATATCAAGACACTCAAAGCGATTCCCGAGTTCAAGCTGGAAATCCTGGCTTCTCTCTCTCAGTTTTAAGATGTTAATCCTGCTCTTTTTCTCTTTTTTAATGACCTTCAGTCTGGCAAGTTTTTTGTTGAGATGTATATTAGCCCTAACCATTCTGTGGTCACTTCCAATGTCCACTTTTGTGATGACTTCGCAATTCTTGATGATACCTTTTTGGCTGCTGAGAATGAAGTCTATTTGATTTCTTGTGTTGCAATTCGGGCTTTCCCACGTCCAGTACCGGTTTATGTTTTTCTTAAAGAAGGTATTTGCTATCGATTACTTGTGTTGAGCTGCAAATTCAAGTAACACATCTCCTCTTTTATTTCTCTATCCATATCCAAATTTTCCAAGGATGTTCTCTTCTTTTGGCTGACATTCACCGTCTTTGGCATCTTCCATTACAATGGTGTACTTAGATTTGTTTCCTTCTATTGCCTTACTTATATCTTCATAAAAAGCTTCCACAGCTTCGTCATCATAATCACTGGTAGGTGCATATACTTGAATTATGCATAGCTGATCTTTGCCAGACAGCTGGAGGTTGAGTGTAACTACTCTGTTTGAGTAACTTTTTATTTCTTTCACATAGTCTGTAATTCTTGGATGGATTAGGAATCCAACTCCTTTGGCATTTTGTCCTCTTCCGTCTTTCCATGAAGTATAACCAAATTCCACCCTGTAACTCCTCAATTCCCTGGCCTTCCCTTTTTGTTTCCGCTAATCCAATTACATCCCATTTAAATTCTTTGAGCTCATCTAGTAATGTTTCTAACACTTCCTCCGTTCTTAGGGTTCTAGTGTTGTAGGTGCAGACATTTAGGTTAGGTTGTCCAGGCATGTTACCCTTTTCAATCTTGGAGCTTCCCTTTGGCTTTGGCTTCAAGACGTCATTTGGGGCATTATGACTAGGCAATTTACAGCTGCTCCATGTCCGAGAGCTGCGCCCATTTTGGCCCTGGGCTCTACGGCCTTTAACTTATCTACTTTCCATTATCATGAAGGTTTATAGCCGGTTGTCCCCACTCTCTACATACTATATTACGTGCTAATACTACTCTATCAACACTAGCATGCACTACTGAGCTACAAGCGAACGGTCTCCTCCTTGTATGGTCCATCACATAATGTGATAAGAGAATTCAGGTTTCTTTTTATTCCACCCCAAATCCCATACACTTTGTACACGTTTTCTAACCGGGCCGTTTTGAACCTTAAACAAACTTGTATTCTAATGAAACCTAAACTATACTTCACAATATTGATTGTGTTGAAACTTGGTGGCTGGAAATGTGGAAACATGTACATTTAATAGGTCGCCACATGTCACTTGATTACGTCTTATGACGTCGCTTAAATGTTTATGTATAGCACATCCCGGTCTAGGAACATACCAACTTTCAACCCAATCGGACCTGTAGTTCAAATTACAGTGTACTTCCGGTTTCAACCCGAAAAGGGAAGGGCCACGTGATTTTTCTCACAAAAAGTGAGAACGAGAATTCTGATTGGGTTGAAACTGTGTAAATACATTGCAACGGACGTGTTGAAGATGACAATTATGGTATGTTCATCTATACGTGATCCACGACATTTTTAATTTTTTTTTGATTTCTTTCATGTGTTTTGCTAGCATAACTCTTGACCAATAGTTAGCTACTCTTAATCAGGTGGAACAATGCCGCTGTGGTTTCTTTTTTCAATAATTTGTGAAAATATCACTTTTTCTTCGTTTACAGAGTCAACGTTCTCAACGAACCAGCCATCCTCTCCCTATTCAACTGAAGTGCCTCAGGTTTCAACTGAGTCTACCATCGGAGGTTTGTGAATTATGGTTATTGAATCTAGTTTTATTCCATCACTAGTTGGTAAGCCTTTGAAGTCATGTCCTATTGTTCACTTAATTTTTGTTAAAGTCATCTTAGTGCAAGTGTGATTGTGTCCAATTCAAATTGGACTACTTGCCCGAAAACACGTTTTATTTGTGACAAAATCAGGCAACAATGGGTAGCACTAATAACGGCCGGATGTTCTTTCTGCTTGCTAATACTACTCTATCAACACTAGCATGCACTACTGAGCTACAAGCGAACGGTCTCCTCCTTGTATGGTCCATCACATAATGTGATAAGAGAATTCAGGTTTCTTTTTATTCCACCCCAAATCCCATAGACTTTGTACACGTTTTTTAACCGGACCGTTTTGAACCTTAAACAAACTTGTATTCTAATGAAACCTAAACTATACTTCACAATATTGATTGTGTTGAAACTTGGAGGCTGGAAATGTGGAAATATGTACATTTAATAGGTCGTCACATGTCACTTGATTACGTCTTATGACGTCACTTAAATGTTCATGTATAGCACATCCCGTTCTAGGAACATACCAACTTTCAACCCAATCGGACCTGTAGTTCAAATTACAGTGTACTTCCGGTTTCAACCCGAACGGGAAGGGCCACATGATGTTTATCACAAAAAGTGAGAACGAGAATTCTGATTGGGTTGAAACTGTGTAAATACATTGTAAGGGACGTGTTGAAATGACAATTATGGTAAGTTCATCTATACGTGATCCATGACATTTTTTTTTAAATTTCTTTCTTGTCTTTTGCTAGCATAACTCTTGAACAATAGTTAGCTACTCTTAATAAGGTGGAACAATGCCACTGTGGTTTCTTTTTTCAATAATTTGTGAAAATATCACTTTTTCTTCATTGACAGAGTCAACGTTCTCAACGAACCAGCCATCCTCTCCCTATTCAACTGAAGTGCCTCAGGTTTCAACTGAGTCTGCCATCGGAGGTTTGTGAATTACGGTTATTGAATCTAGTTTTATTCCATCACTAGTTGGTAAGCCTTTGAAGTCATGTCCTATTGTTCACTTAATTTTTGTTAAAGTCATCTTAGTGCAAGTGTGATTGTGTCCAATTCAAATTGGACTACTTGCCCGAAAACACGTTTTATTTGTGACATTGTTAGTCAAAATCAGGCAACAATGGGTAGCACTAATAACGGCCGGATTTTCTTTCTGCTTGTACGAATTGTTATATTCGTGGTGGGTTTTCATAAGTAACAAAATCCTCTCCATATGCAATCGCAATTTTACTTTCTCTTTATATTTAATTGTTGTCTATGTATTTTTCTGTTAATAAAAGAATCATTATCGTCAACAAATCAGCCATTCCTCCCACCCGGAGCCGGTTGTCCCCACACTCTACATGCTATATTACGTGCTAGTACTACTCTATCAACACTAGCATGCACTACTGAGCTACAAGCGAACGGTCTCCTCCTTGTATGGTCCATCACATAATGTGATAAGAGAATTCAGGTTTCTTTTTATTCCACCCCAAATCCCATACACTTTGTACACGTTTTAACCGGGCCATTTTGAACCTTAAACAAACTTGTATTCTATTGAGACCTAAACTATGTGAAAACCGCATAGTGAGTTCGTGTCCCGAAGAATGACGTCATGATAACGTCATCATGGGTCACGTGAGGTCATCTTAAATGTGCAAACTTCAAAACCCTATATCTAAAGCACTATCAGTCCAATTGGGTTGAAACTCGGTATGTAGGTAGACCGGGAAGTGTTATAGGTAAAAATTGAAGTGACGTCAATATGGCGTCACCACGTATTAAACTACAAGCAATTAAAGATTTATAGATTTAATCTTTGAAAATCAATATGAAATCAACCGTGAAACACCTGAACTTGAATTTTGTAAAAATGGATAGAATAATCCAGGATCTTTATTTTATCTCCTGCGATTGGGTATGTAGGTAGGCCGGGATGTGTTATAGATAAAAAGGTGACGTCATCATGACGTCATCATGTGATTTTATATCGACTTTTAAAGTTTTGAAGATTATCACCATTTCTCGCAAGCCCAACATGCTAAATTCAAAAAAAAAATTGCATAAGGTTTGTTAGGTAATAGTCATCTGCACCAAAGTTTTTGAAAAATGTGTGAAATCATGATGACGTCATCAAAATTCGATTTTTCAAAACACATATAAGGGTAAGTTTGATTGTGTTGAAACTTGGTGGCTGGAAATGTGGAAACATGTACATTTAATAGGTCGTCACATGTCACTTGATTACGTCTTATGACGTCACTTAAATGTTCATGTATAGCACATCCCGTTCTAGGAACATACCAACTTTCAACCCAATCGGACCTGTAGTTCAAATTACAGTGTACTTCCGGTTTCAACCCGAACGGGAAGGGCCACGTGATGTTTATCACAAAAAGTGAGAACGAGAATTCTGATTGGGTTGAAACTGTGTAAATACATTGTAAGGGACGTGTTGAAGATGACAATTATGGTAAGTTCATATATACGTGATCCATGAGGTGGAACAATGCCACTGTGGTTTCTTTTTCCAATTATTTGTGAAAATATCACTTTTTCTTCATTGACAGAGTCAACGTTCTCAACGAACCAGCCATCCTCTCCCTATTCAACTGAAGTGCCTCAGGTTTCAACTGAGTCTGCCATCGGAGGTTTGTGAATTATGGTTATTGAATCTAGTTTTATTTCATCACTAGTTGGTAAGCCTTTGAAGTCATGTCCTATTGTTCACTTAATTTTTGTTAAAGTCATCTTAGTGCATGTGTGATTGTGTCCAATTCAAACATGTTTTATTTGTGACATTGTTAGTCGAAATCAGGCGAAAATGGGTGGCACTAATAACGGCCGAATTTTCTTTCTGCTTTTACAAATTGTTACATTCGTGGTGGTTTTTCATAAGTAACAAAATCCTCTTCATATGCAATCGCAATTTTACTTTCTCTTTATATTTAATTGTTGTCTATGTATTTTTCTGTTAATAAAAGAATCATTATCGTCAACAAATCAGCCATTCTCTACGAAGTTAACTGAAATGCCATCATCACAGTCTGCCAGTAAGTCACCTTTTAAAATGATTTTTAACGATTTTTTGGTATTCGTGGTGGCTTTTCATTAGTTACCTACGCAATCTTCATATGCAATCGCAATTTTACTTTCTCTTTATATTTAATTGTTGTTTGTGTATTTTTCTTTTAATGAAAGAATCTTTATCGTCAACAAATCAGCCATTTTCTACGAAATTCACTCAAATGCCCGAGGATTCATCAACAGAGTCTGCCTTTAAGTTACATTTTTAAATGATTTTTTTTTAACAATGTTTTTGTCACTTCCTTTAGTGTACCAAATTGTGTTTGCGGCACCTCTTTAGCCAGAGCAAATGGTTATTGCATCTTCCAAGAACTTTATTTTATATTTTTGTTAATGATTTATGCAGTTGTTTCTCGTATTAATAATGCTGTCACCGATGAAACAAATTTCCGAAAAGTTCAATGAAAGACGATTAATAACATTGACATTAAGTGTATTATTGTATTTAAAAAAAAAAAATTACTGCTGGAATGCTGTCACTTAAATTGCAGGTACTATTGTAATGCTCGAATTTCTAAAACAAAATCTGACTCAATTGGAGTGAGGGAAAACAAAATCTGACTCAATTGGAGTGAGGGCGGGATTAATTCGGGTTAAAAAAAAAAAAACCTTGGATGAGTTAATCCTGCAGAGTCTACCTTCGGAGGTTTGTGACTGATGGTTTTAAATTCAGTTTTATTTATATTACTTTATTGTTTATTAACTTTTTTTCAGTACGACTGTTTCCAATTAGAATCAGTCTACCCACCCGGAGTTAAATTCTATTTGTTAATTTGTTCAAACGTGGTGTGGTTAAAATTTAATGAACTTCTACCACGCACTTGCCGAGATTGTTAAGTGATAAAGTTTGCCTGTTACTGCCAAAGCTTACTAAGTTACGTTGAGTTGAGGATTAAAATAAACTAAATGTACAATTAATGTTGCCGAGATCGCTGTAGTTGTTGATCGCTGAAGTAGCGCGGAGTGTCTGTGTCCACGTTGGTAGCGCTTCGCGTTTGTATACTGCTGTTACGTAATAAACTATTTAAAGGAAAAGAAAAGAAAAGGGGCGCGTCTTCTGCACACAACGAACTCTTTTATTTGCCACGTACCAGTCTAGATCTTATGCTGGGACCATTGAATAAAAAAGGGAGGAATTCACTACATTCGCCTTTGTTTCTAATTGTTTGCACTTCTACCTTTTTCTTTAATAAATTGACTTGTATTGTGTGTAATTATAAATAATCATCATCAACAAATCAACCAATATCTCTAGTCTGCACCGAATGCCCCAGATCTCGTCACAGGGTTTTTCTGTCATTGACGTATTAATTTCCCAGGACACTTCCATTTTATTGACTGAATGGTGTGTTTGTGGCGGCAGTACGTCAGAAGATTCTGGCTTTTAATACACAAAATCCCACTGATTTCAAAGATCAAAGTACGTGTCATCCTCAGTCACAACGCTGACATGTGCCTATGTTTCAATATAATTATAGACAAGATTCATTATATTACATTTGTATTTTAAACCCCAATTTCCTTACGTTCCCAGTCAAGTGTTATCACTGTAATGTGGAAACTTGTTCATTGCATCAAGCCTTTGGTCGTATTATGTGTTGGCTATTCAACCCCAGTCACAGACAAACTGAATCTTGTACTTTGAATCCTCAACCACGCCCTCCCCCATGGACACTTCTGGATCCGACACTTTTTTCCAGAATAAAGTGAATCTTACAGAAACATTGAAATTATTAAATAAAGTTGAAAAGTTGAAAAATTTACAAGACTGGGAAGGCTAAACATTTTGTATTCATTTGTTTGTATTTTTTGTTCGCCTTCAGCTACTGAGTCATCTTTCTCAACCAACCAACCAATCTCTACAGCATCGACTGAAATGCCTCAAGCTTCCTCAACAGAGCTTTCCCTCGAAGGTTGGTGAATCACTTCACAAGTTGATTATGTAAACTTATTTATTACACTCATCTCCACACACAGTGCAATTGAAAACTTTTTAAGAGGAAATTGCATTTAATTTTTACTAAGAAAAGTAAATTGCAAAGAATCATCAACGGGACGAAGTTTTGACAATCGAATTTGACCTTCCTATGTCTTGATATGCTCGATTATTTTTACATTCTGTTGTTCTTTACTCCTAGATCAATCGTTGAATTAATATATAATTTCCGATTCGATATGTCTCTGAAAAACCTCAATCAAATGTGTTTATCCATGTGTGGTTCAAACGAGTTTGTTTTGTTTTTATTTATTGCAGATATTAGATCCACAACACATTTTTCCTCTTCTTCAGAGATGTCGAGTCGTGGGTTCAGTACCGAGCCAGTAACGGGTATGTGTAGATAGTTTTTAATGAGATTAACAAACGTATAATGTCATGCAGACATTCAGATCTAAGGAATAGTTCAAGAAATGTTTGGGTTTTTTTCTTTACGATTGTGTACCATTGATGCAACCAATCAATGCGATATTTGCATATAAGGCCAAAAAAAAATATTCGGTCTCTGGTCAGACCAAAGTTCCGGAATTGACGCGGCCACGCGGCTTTTTTTTTTTTTTTTTTTTTGCTTTTTTTTTTCTTCAAACTTGGATTGTACAGAAGAGGTGGGGTACTATTTTGCTTTTTTGGTGTCCTCATGTACATTGGTGTCCTCCATAATTTGCCTTGGTGCTTTCGATCATTTGCCTTGGTGCAATTTCCCATTCCTTGGTGCTCTTTGGTTAAAAAAAACTTGAGGAGGTGCGGAAATAGAGGGCGCTGTTGGAGCTACCGCGGAACATTTTGGAAAAAAAAGATCGACGCGCATGATTAAAATCGACGCGCGCGCTTACCAGGGACCGATTTTTTTTTTTTTGGCCTAATAATAAATATTTTGTTCACATATATAAACATTTGCCAATGTCTTTGGACATTCTTTTCAATCCAAAGTGAATCAACTATTTCAATTTACAATCTATGTTTTTGGCTGAAACTCAACATAGCACGGATATCGTTGGAGTCTTTATCATACATAACGTTTTTTTGTGATTATCATTTGCATTACTCTGCAAAACCCGTAATTGGAATTCTATTTTATTTTTAATTAACATCATGTTTATAGCATCGAGACATCTATAATAGTAATTACATACCCGTGACATTTTTTTTGAACAACAAGCCGTCCTTGATGAAACTTATTATAACAATTTACAGAACATCCAGTATTGACACAATTCTTTTCTACGGAAATGATATCCGTCACTGAATTTAGGGTCAACGAGGCTACACTATTTCATTTTTCTGTTTTAAATTCTGAAAGTCTAGCAGGACAGTTTTTTTAATGTTACCTTTTGCATTCGTGAGTTTTTGCCAAAAGAGTGGCAAATCGGTCAAACATATCGGACACATATTTATTTTAATTTTCTTTGGTAGGACAGAAAAACATTTTGATTGATTTGCACAGATTGCAAACCTCGTGCATCACAACAGCTGCATGTTTGATGTTTGAGTTCCTTGATGTTGTGTCATAACAAAGAAAGCATCTTCAGAACCAAGAACTTGTGTATGTATCACTCATGCCGCGCCTGAAATCATTCCTGCATATTCTGTCTCTACATCATCAAATCGCTGAATCATCAAATGTGTATAATTGTAATGATATTATAATGTGACTGACTTTTTTTGTTTCCACAGCACAAACTCATTTTTCTACGACATTGCTCGCCACTGAATCATCGACCGCTCCCATGCCAGGTATTCATTGTGTTATTTAATGTGCAGATTATATACGTTTGTATCATTTCTGGTTCCCCAAAATCACACCTTAAAGCTAAATCTTCGAAAACAGGGACGTGAAACTATTTTATTTTAATATAGGCTATACCATAATTCGCAAAACCTCACCAAAACATTATAAAAGCACAAATTGTTAGTCTGAAGTTAAAATTTTAATTATTCCGCTGCAAGACATCGGAACTATGATAAGTGACGTAAAAATATAGTTCAAATTAAAGGGTTACATCAACTGAAATAAGGCGTTTTATAATATTTTTTTCAAACATCTCAGTTGCATGATATCCAAGGAGTATCGTGTATTTACAGAAGAATGTTGAAAACTTTGGATTGATCGTGAACATATTTATCTTGCCTCGTTTTTATTCCCTAATGCTGAATAAACTAATGCCATCGGATCATGATTCAGAACAGTACAAGAAACTTTTCGTACGTGGAGTGGTCTGAAATTATGACTAAGGCTAATACATCACGATTTTCAAGAGTCCACAATGTCGTGCCTCCAAATTCCATTGCGTGATAACTTCACGAAACTGCCGATTTTCAATGTATAGTCGGTTGCATTTACAATCTGAGCATTGCTTTAAATCAGCAAATTTATCGATAATTTGTACTTTTTGTGAACGTCTTTGCAGTTGGTATGGAATTTAGCATTCAGCTTCGAATCCTTGATGTGGATGGTGAACCAGCTGTCTTTACTACTGAACACAACGATAAGAACTCGCTGGTGTTCCGGGCTCTCTCGGCAGCAGTTCGTATCGCGGTAATCAAAACATTCTTGTCTACAGATCAGTTTTAAATGTTATTACTTTTATACCTTCTTTGTTGTTTTTAACATTTATACTAATCGCCACCACGAGCGGAAAACAACAATCCCTATTAATTGTTGATATAAATAACTTGAACTCATCAATATAATACCATTCCTGTACAATGTTCGCATCTTCATCTAGTTTTCATTAGTGTTATTTTATTATCACAATTATTCTTGTTAAGAGAAATAAACTAATATAAAACAAAACAAAAGTTAAAGACCTGAACTGTTATAATTTCTTTTTATAATTTAATAACTGAATATAACATTACGGGTGCACTGTGTATTACGTTTTATGTCGATATTACATTATAGGAACATTATTTGTCGTATTTTTTATTTTTTATTTTTTTTTTAGATTCTTAGAAGTCTCCAAGGGTCAGGAAGGACCTCTGACGTCTTAGAATTCGAAATGACGTCGGTTTTGAATGGCAGTCTTGTGGTGAATGGTGTTGCCAGATTCCCACTCAACTCCGCAGTCGATAGTGACATCATACGGGATGTGCTGCATACTAATATGATGGACAACAATGGAAGAGTTGAAAATTCTCTCTTGATTGATCCGCTGGCAACTGTTGTAACAAGTACGGTATAGTAAAGTAAAGTCCCCGTATAAGAAATGTACCTGTGCTGAGTTTAAATAGGTAAATTATAGTTGGTTTACACACTATAGTTTTTGTGCACAGGTACTACTTATGATTTGGGGCAAATGTTATTGCTTAAACAGGGAGGTATTGAAATTATCAGGGACAGCCTTGTTTTGTACATGTTTGCAATTATCTTTTTATGAAAAAAAATCACGTGCATAGGCATACATTATTATAATTTTTTCACCCGTGTGTGTCCAAAAATGATCGGGATTGGCAGGGGAGGACATGAACAATACAGTTACCCACAATCGTTCGTTTTATGCAGATGTTTCAGAGCATAGATTATGAAGAATCCTGGATGAGTGATGTCCTTGCCCGTGCGTGGGAAATTGGGTTGATGGCCCGTTTGCAATGTGCTTCAGGCATTGGATACACCGCGTACATTTTTTCTTACCATTTAACACACCAAAGAGGGGATGACGACAAATCATAGTAGTGTTATAACTTGTGTGATTATGTTAATATACCGTACGCTCACGTCTATTAAGCACGGCGCACACAAGGCCGTGCAGGCAAAGGATTTAAAAAGACAGAATTGAATGTAAAAATCACTAAGACACGCTAAAAGTGTATGTATGAATTTGGCGAACCAGAATGAGGACTTTGGGTTGCCCAATCCATGATAAAAACCAACTTTTTTAAAAGTATTTATCCAATTACGTACGCTTGTAAGTGTACAAGAAATACTTTTAACAGTGTAAGTTTCTTTAAAATCATTACCGTTATATATTGTCTACACCACAGATCCCACGGAGGACTGCCCAGCATACCACTGTCAAAATAATGGTAGCTGTGAACAGCAAGGAAGCTTTCCGGACTATACGTACACTTGCAGGTATTCCTGTTACACGCTGTGCTCTGCTGGGCATGCTTAATACATTAATAATCATTTAACTGTCAAATCAAAGTTAGTGCTAATTCTCAACTTTTTTTGATAGAAACGCACAATTAATTGAAAATATGGCAGAAAAATATCTGGTAAGCATACATCTTTGACATCAGGATGACCTCGTCAATTTTGCATTAAAATCCCATTTTTTAAACAAATTTATCAATAAGCCAATCAATCTTAATGGTCACATTTCATATAACGTAATATTATTGCTATGGTGGTAAATTAAAAAAAATAAAACTGTAATTATTTCTCACACTTGTCTTGATATTCAGGTGCATGGAAGGTTTATCTAGCAGCCTTTGTGAAGTTTCAGGTAAATTATTTCCCCCTGTTTTCCTATACTTTGCAATATGCAAGTGTTTTTTTGTTTTGTTATTTACTGACCTCTTCATTTGGTTTCCACTGGTAACCTTTTCCAACCTGCAAACAATACAAACTTTACAACTCCACCCACCTAGCGAGTACAGTACAAAAGTAACTAGTAAATACAAAAAAGTGCACCAGCAGAATATACTACTTACCAACAATTACAGTTTATTAGTTTCAATGAAATGCACCGTTTTTATCTATTTTGGTTGTTCGTAAAGTTTGTGTTTTCTTTTTCTAATTTTGGGAGTATCAGGGGAAGCTGGTAATGGCGGAGTTATCGCCATTGTTGCCATCGTTGGCGTTTTAGTTCTTCTTGTCATTTTTGCACTGGTCGTCGCGTGCGCTTCTTTGGCTAATCAGGCTTCAAAACGGAACTCGCGACCTTCTGAATACAGAGAGCAGGTATAGTGGCCATTACAAAGCCGTTTGCATACCTTCATTGAGAAGAAAAAGTATAGGTGTGAATAAATGCCCGTAGTTTGAACAAATATAAGAGTACAACTTGTATTTAAAGTGTATTTCTAGTATACTATATGTAGATTCGCAAAGCAGTAATCTTTTCTATTTTTTTTTACATATCATAATCCTTCCAGACTGTCCTTTACACTTCACACCTAACGGTTTCTGATTTCTCGTTTTCCACTATAGAACCAAGATTCCCTATATCAAGACCCGAATTTCACATTGCCGTACATCGTCCCTGGACCCTCTCCGGTGAGTGTTTTGATATCCGTTTAGTATTAGTTATGATTCAGTCATGTCTTTTATTCAATATTCATCAATACAAAATAAGACAATTTACCCATTCCCATTGGTCGAGAGCCCGTCACGTGGCCGGTCCTAGACGGATGGTTGGCTGGTCTTAAACACTTTTCCAGTGTCGCATGAAATTTGGAATCCTATAAAATTCAGTACCTTTTACCGTTTTATTGGTTGAACGTTCACAATCTTCACGTAGGCATGCGTAACACTACCAGTGAATCAGTATTTCATCGTCCTTAATGGACCGATCCAGTAAGCTCCGCCCACTGCGCACTGGGCAAATTAACACGTGCTTCTCTCCAATGCCTTACTGCATTTTCCTGCCGCGCGCATCATACGCGCGTGCACGCATGTCGGACTTTTGTGCACGCATGTCGGACATAAATCACGGCTGTGATTGGTCAGAACACCATGGAGTGGTGCTTACTGGATCGGTTCTTTCACAGCGCACTCGCCGCAGCTGCATCTGCGCGACATCGCGCACTACGCGCGACGTGCGCGCCAACCTCCATTAAAGAAGTTGTGTCGTACTCGCGAGCTGGACACTCAATTATATAGCTAGAGGGATGTTTCGAGAGAAAAAAAATGAAATATAATTATTGAACAAAATCGTCGGTAACATAAAATGTTTGACTTGTTTTGACTTTTGGACCGAACAAAATTAGATTTTTCGACCGAAAAGGTATTTATGAATGGGAATAAATGTGTGCTTGGTCGGTATTAAGAACTTTGATCGGCTCGGGTAATTATCACCCACCCAGACTCCAACCGGTCTTAACACTTCCCAAGCACACTTTTATTCCCTTAATCAACTTCGAACATCATCATTCATCAACTTGAATCGAGAGAGACAATCTAACTACTCATTAAGGAAGTATATAATCACAAATATTCTATAGTATTATTTATGAAGTTCTTTTAATAATAGCAATCCATTTTCTCATTCAGATGCGAAGAATGTTTCAGGAGGAAATGGAAGAAGCATTTTACTACTAAACCTGCAACACGGACCAGTGTGATTGTGTGCAGCAGTGACTGGAAATCATTTCAAGCTAATATATCTGATACTTTGCATTCACAGATAAGTCAATTTGTATTGACATGTTGAGTATAACAACTCAAAAAGCTTTGGTATGTGGGATTAACCATTCGAAGTAGGCCTATGCAGGCAAAATTAAGAAGGAACCAACCGCTGATAAAGTAATGCTAACCATTCAAAAGGAAAGACAACATTCTTTAGTTTGCTGCATGTCCAGTTCTATTTTCTTTGGTTTTTCTTTTTTTTATCCCGGACTTTAAGAGTGCAGTACTTAATCCAGAATTCAGTTATCGCTGCAAAGCGAGGCATTATGATATACAAATTCCAAACTAACTGAATATTATAAGCATCGGGGTGATATATATCAAATTAGGTTTTGTCATCCACCGACGTTTTTAAACACTGTATACTCAGTATGTTACCTCCCGAGTGAAAGTTGGGAAAATCACTCGGGTGGGACTGGAACCCACGACCTCCTGCTTTCTAGTGCAAATGTCTTACCACTCGACCACCGAGCTAACGGGATCGGTTGGCTGGTTCGAATCTGATGTACATAGCAGCGGGTACCGCATAAACTATTATAGGATGGAATTTTGCGTCGGGGTGACAGAAAAACCAAAGAAAAGTTTATTCAGTTCCCACTGCTATGAACATCAGCTAACGGGATCGGTTGGCCGGTTTGAATCTGATGTTCATAGCAGTGGGAACTGAATAAACTTTTCTTTGGTTTTTCTGTCACCCCGACGCAAAATTCCATCCTATAATAGTTTATGCGGTACCCGCTGCTATGTACATCAGATTCGAACCAGCCAACCGATCCCGTTAGCTCGGTGGTCGAGTGGAAAGACATCTGCACTAAAAAGCAGGAGGTCGTGGGTTCGAGTCCCACCCGAGTGATTTTTTCCAACTTTCACTCGGGAGGTAACACACTGAGTATACAGTGTTTAAAATCGTCGGTGAAGGGCAAAACCTAATTTGATTGATGAAACTAACTGAAGTCGTACTCAATCATTTCCTTTGACACCCTTGAAAGCCCTTAGGCTAGCCTAGGACTGGCTCCGGGTGTTAACTTATGTACTGATAAAATACCCACAGGCAGTGAGAATGTCGAGGTAGCAAATGACAATCAATGAGCATTGTTGTCAAGCCGTGTACATGAGCACTTGGCTGGGCTGGGCTTGGTTCTGTCTTTGGTCACATAAGGCGAAATATCAAACTCCTTACATTTCCTTTATCTCTTAGAAACCAAAAATCGGAAACTAAACTCATGGCGTTTGTTTTTTAGGCGAATGCAGGATGATAGAGCAGGGCATGGTTTTAGTTGACATCGTGTAATTCAGTTTAAATATGTTTATTTAAAAATAGGGATAAGTATGAAATTGATCCTTTTTTCGGTTTAACCATTTATAAATGTTAACACACCCATCACCCAATAGGTATCTAGTACGTTCTTGTGTAGTGTACCAGTCAGATTTATTTTGTATCCGTTATCATACAGGAAATGGTATAGTCCGGGAATTTTAATGCATCTCCCCAACAAAATATTACAGGCAATCGATTTCAGACTTTTAAGTGTTTAATAGAAATAGATAGTCTCATTTGGAAAAGGTGGTAAAATCTTCATTACAATGCGCTGTAAATAGCGGTTCCATTTATGTAATACACAGTAGCAGAGGTATGACGTTTTAGTGTAACTTCTTTAACTTTGATATCCGAAAAACCCAATGAATATATGTTTTTAACAGTAAGTTACAAAATGTGTTTCTGAACGTCGTTGGATTCTACTTTTAATTGCAAATGACAATCAATGAGCATTGTTGTCAAGCCGTGTACATGAGCACTTGGCTGGGCTGGGCTTGGTTCTGTCTTTGGTCACATTAGGCGAGATATCAAACTCCTTACATTTCCTTTATCTCTTAGAAACCAAAAATCGGAAACTAAACTCATGGCGTTTGTTTTTTAGGCGAATGCAGGATGATGGAGCAAGGCATGGTTTTAGTTGACATCGTGCAATTCAGTTTAAATATGTTTATTCAAAAATAGGGATAAGTATGAAATTGATACTGTTTTCAGTTTAACAATTAATAAATATTAACACACCCATCACCCAATAGGTATCTAGTACGTTCTTGTGTAGTGTACCAGTCAGATTTTTTTTTGTATCCGTTATGATATAGGAAATGGTATAGTACGGGAATTTTAATGCATCTCCTAAACAAAATATTACAGGCAATCGATTTCAGACTTTTAAGTGTTTAATAGAAATAGATAGTCTCATTTAGAATAGGTGGTAAAATCTTCATTACAATGCGCTGTAAATAGCGGTTCCATATATGTAATGCACAGTAGCAGAGGTATGACGTTTTAATGTAACTTCTTTAACTTTGATATCCGAAAAACCCAATGAATATATGTTTATACAGTAAGCTACCTTAAAACTTGTATCTTGCAAATTCCAGAAACAAAATTTGTTTCTGAACGTCGTTGGATTCTACTTTTAATTGCAAATGACAATCAATGAGCATTGTTGTCAAGCCGTGTACATGAGCACTTGGCTGGGCTGGGCTTGGTTCTGTCTTTGGTCACATAAGGCGAGATATCAAACTCCTTACATTTCCTTTATCTCTTAGAAACCAAAAATCGGAAACTAAACTCATGGCGTTTGTTTTTTAGGCGAATGCAGGATGATGGAGAAGGGCATGGTTTTAGTTGACATCGTGTAATTCAGTTTAAATATGTTTATTCAAAAATAGGGTTAAGTATGAAATTGATACTTTTTTCGGTTTAACCATTTATAAATGTTAACACACCCATCACCCAATAGGTATCTAATACGTTCTTGTGTAGTGTACCAGTCAGATTTTTTTTGTATCCGTTATCATACAGGAAATGGTACAGTCCGGGAATTTTAATGCATCTCCTCAACAAAATATTACAGGCAATCGATTTCACACTTTTAAGTGTTTAATAGAAATAGATAGTCTCATTTAGAATAGGTGGTAAAATCTTCATTACAATGCGCTGTAAATAGCGGTTCCATTTGTGTAATACACAGTAGCAGAGGTATGACGTTTTAGTGTAACTTCTTTAACTTTGATATCCGAAAAACCCAATGAATATATGTTTATACAGTAAGTTTCCTTAAAACTTGTATCTTGCAAATTCCAGAAACAAAATTGCACACTTTTAAGTGTTTAATAGAAATAGATAGTCTCATTTAGAATAGGTGGTAAAATCTTCATTACAATGCGCTGTAAATAGCGGTTCCATTTATGTAATACACAGCGGTTCCATTTATGTAATACACAGTAGCAGAGGTATGACGTTTTAGTGTAACTTCTTTAACTTTGATATCCGAAAACCAAATGAATATATGTTTATACAGTAAGTTTCCTTAAAACTTGTACATGTATCTTGCAAATTCCAGAAACAAAATTTGTTGCTGAACGTCGTTTGATTCTACTTTTAATTCCGAAGTTAATTTTGAATTTACAAAGAGTAAGATTTTGAAAGAGTTTATATTGGATTCATTATTGATATCTTACGCTTCAGAATGAAATACAATTCATTTATAAATGAGTACTAGTACGTTAAATATGACCCCTAG